GCCACCACGTTTCTTGAACTCCCACTGCAGACCGAGCCTTGTGCTGCTGGCCCGCCACCAGCTCTGCACGAGCTCCTTGCCGACGCTCGCTGGCAGGAGGCTCCTGAGCCCAGCCGCCTGCCTGCCCGTGCGTAGACGTCCCGCCGCCGCCGTAGTCTGCAGTTGCACAGGGACCTGGACCCCCCTTCACTTGCAGTTGCAAAAAGGTGTGAGAAAAAAAAAGAGACACGACTGTTCGAGCTGTGGCGCGAAAGCTTGTGCAAGGGTTCACGGCCCACCAGCCAACACAAAGCATCCCTAAATATTTCCAAAAACTTGTGCGCCTTCGCCACAGCCCGGCGGCTTCTGCAAAACATGAAGGGGAAAGCTGGGCTCGTGGTCCAAGCAGGTGCGCCGGTGCTAATTGCATGGTGGCTCCCGAAAATCCTGCCGCCGCCCCACGGCGTGCAGACCGCAATCAAATGAGGAAGCTAGAAGCTTGCAGTGGGCACGGGCAAAGCAAGGCGGAGTGTGTCTTGCAGGAAAGCTCGGCGATGGTGGCGTCGGATCCTGCGGTCTGCGCGTTTTCCCCGCGGCGTCCGGGGCAAAAAGGAACTTTTTTTCTGTAAGAGTTTCAAGTCTCCAGCAATGCAACTAATGCACTGATCTGGGACGAGCTTTACACCAAACGTAGTATCGGCATGGCGGACACCGCGACAGGCAGTGCCGGCGCGTGTGGCGGGCACTGCGGGCAGACGAGCTAGGGCCAGTCAGAGGCCAAACACCAGGCGTCGGAGGGTCGTAGGGGCTTGGGGAGCAGGGGGGGGGCTTAGGGGGCGGAGGGGCTGCAGTGAGGCGAGTGGCGCAGCGGCTCAAGGCTCAGCGAAGGGGAATCCCTCGCGCTTTCGGGCAAACGGCGGAGGACTGCCCATTCATTTCCCTCTGGAGGTTGGCGGCAAGGCTTTGCAAGAGGCGGTCGGTCTCGGCAGCTAGAGTGTGCTGAGAGGATGCCACCGAGGGTACACCACATGGTAGCAGCCGTGGGGCCCCACCCACCGCTGCACGCCTCAGCGACGAGGGGGAAGAAATGTAGGCCTTCGCGCAACAGTGGTGTTCCGTGTGCTGGTGGTTGCGTTTCCGGGCTTCTGGACCGGGCAGACTCAGCCTGCGTGACGCCAGCCCGGACGCCCGACGTAACGGCAAGGTCCAGTGCAGCAGGCCCCTGCAAACCCCGCTGCGCCACCCAGACGTCTGCGGGTCTGCGGAAACCAGCCCCGCGGCCAGCGTCGGCTCCGTCGTCCGCGTTTCCAGCGCCGGAGCTCCGTTTGTGGCGATGCGCAGTCGGAGATCAGTTGCGGACCCATCCACTCCGCGCTCGTGCAGAGCACGTTTTCTAGCTCAGCAGGCCAAAAGCCCCGAGCGTGCGTAGGCCCCGCGCTGGTCCACGCTCTGGCCACATACCTGGGCCCGGGCAATATTTGTTTCCCACACGCCTTCTTCCGGCCGCCGGAAGTCTCGAAGCAATTACCGTATCCTACAAAGACGCTTTTACCGCGGCTTCAGCGCGGCCCCTGGCACGCACCGGCGAGTGCCATGGGAGCTCCAGCAGCGACGCCGCGATGGCATGCTATCCAGCCACAGCTACTAGCCCCGACCAATGGGCTACCCCAGCCGCTCGGGTGGGTCTGGTGGCGTGTAATAGCTCGACCGGGATGCACGTCTGCGCAAGGCTGGGCGCGCTCCTGCCGCTTGACGGGGCTGACGAAGGTGGCGTCAACCGCTTGCTGCGAGCCATGCCGCATGGAGAGCCCGTTCGCGACGACTTCGATGTGGCGGTCATCGCAAACCGGAAGATCGATGTTCATGTCCGCGAAGCGAACGTTGTGGGCCACCCGCGCCCTGGCTTCTTGGCACGCCCTCGCCACCGCCCGCTCGAGAGGGAGGGTCCGAGATGCAAAAACACCGCAAGGTCGCCGAGTGGGTCGAATCAATGCGTCCGCGGAAAGCGCACGAGCGCGGAGCGACAAGCAGCGGCAAGCAGCAGCAAATTGGAAAACCGTGGCCTGCGTCAGCAGCAGTGCTCGAGATGCGGCATCAGTGTGAGGAACATGCATCTCAAGCGCCCATTTGTCACTGGCGGGGGTCGATCGATGCTGCCAGCCTCGCAGAAAATCACAAGATTTGCGGCCGCCAGCAGCGCCCGTGCTCCAACGGTTTGCAAGCAGTCCGCCCATGCAGAGGACGCCCCGTAGGCGGCGGGGGTGGCAGCGACTGCCGTGCGTACTTTGGGAGCACCAAATCGCATGGGGAGATGCGCGAGGCGCTGTACGTGAGGGCTCAAGCGGCGGGCGTAGTGAGCCTCGAGACGGGCATGCTCGGACGGCAGCATCATGCTCGCGCACAAACGCTGCCGTCGCTCCAGGTGGGAGCATCCGAGGCAAGTATTTTGCACGTGGCGAAACATCAAAAAACCAGGAGCCCCGAGCGCTGCCATTCGCCGACGGCAGGCAAACATGTGAGCAGCTGCGATGTGACCCTGGTGTCACCGCTGCGCGCAGACGGGCGCCCCCAACCAGCCTCACCGGATCGGGACGGGGCCGCCATCGATGTGGCGCGGAGGCGCAAACAGTGCCGCTACCCGGAACTTGCCCGACCCGGCCCGCAACGCCTCGTGGTGCTGGCGGCCGCGGTCGAGCTGGGGCCAAGAGGCGCATGACCTCGTCCGACGCCTCGCGCGACAGCGGTCCCTGCGTGCGCCGCGGGCACTGAGAGCTGCTGCCCTCGCGGCATGGGATGGCAGGTGGTGGGGACAGCTGGGCTGCGCTTTGAGGCAGCTCCTCCAGCACGTGGCGGACGAAGTCGTGGTGGCCCGCGGGGCTGGCGTCTTGTCCTCTCGCCACGTGTGGTCACCTAGCTCGGCTATCCAGGAATGGTCGTTCTTGTTGTTGCGCATACACTGTCTTGCACGGCCGTGGCAGCTGCAATGATACAGCTGCGACACACGTCGGTGGAGCTCCAGGAATGGCAACGAGCGCAAGCTGCGTCGCAACGGCGATGAGGCCACTCTGGCGGAGAACCCATGCGGCTTGGGCGGAGTTGCAGACAGCGGCAAGGGCACTGGCTGCACGCGCCCGGGCGAGGAGGCGAACAAAGGCGGAGGCTTCCACAGCCAGATTCAATTTTTTCTCCGCGGACTTTTCCCAGAGGGCGAGCCTTGCGCAAGCTTACTGGACAGTGCTGCATTTGTCCTTTCGTTGCACGCACTTAGCGCGAAGCTTGGCAGTGACTTGGCAGCATTTCCACAGCTGCCCATACAACACCATGCCATGCGTTTCGTGAACGTCGTCAAACGTCGCCGGTCCATCTGCGCCACAGGGTGTCGCAGCTCTGGCTTCCAAGACTTTGCGGTTCTTGGTATGCAAAAGCTTTAGACTGCATCTCTCCCAGGACACGTCAAGCCCCTGCCAAATCCAAGAATGCCCACTCGCAACCTGAGGTCTCTGGATTTGAAGTGGTGAACCATTCTGCGTGCGATTGTGTATGGGGCACCGTGTAGCCTTGTGTGGGTAAGTAAGCCGCTGCCTGTGTTGCAGCCAACAGCGAAGGCAACCGTGAAGGGCGGCGTGCTGGACCACAACATGTAGTGCAAACATGAGGGGGTCGCCTGCTTTGCGCCCTCGGCTTGCAAGACCTGGTGCTCGGTGCCAGCGTCGTCTGTCCAGGTTTTATTGCGAAAACAACGCGTGAAATCCAATCATGATTAGTAGGCTCTCGGACCGTGACTCACGGTCGTTTCCGGACACGTCTCTCGCTGTATTTCGATGTGTGGATTAGCCTGTCTCACGGTGTGACTACAACAAAGTGTCGTGCTCGGACATGCAACTTTCGTATCGGAAAGCATCAAACACGAGCGTTGCTCTTGTGCACCTGAAGTTTAGGTTTCTGCTGAGAATCCCACTCGTAGGCTGCACTACAACGGCAGCGTGCAGCGTGTACCAGCATCGTGTATAGCTCCGCGCCGTCCATCTCCACAAAAGGCTCAAGTGTTTTTCTCCCGTACCTCGTTTGCGCCTGCATGGCTGGGGATCTTGCGGGGCGCTTGAAACTGCGTCAATTAGGTGAGTTGGGTTGGGCCCTTTTTCCCCTTTCGCTAGGAGGTCTTCGGAAGCCAGTTCAGTTTGTTTGGGTGCTTCTGCTCCGCGGATGCGCCGCATGTGTGGGGAGTGCCGCCGGGCTGCAGGGGAAGCACCATGGCTGGAGACGTCGCTGCATATGCCCAACTTTGGATCGGCATGCTGTGGTTGATGTGGTTGCGCATCGTGCTGAAGCCGCGGCTGTGCAATCGCGTCGTCTTTTTGCTCAGTGTCATCCCAGGCTATAAGCTTTACTCCAAACGTTCCTAGTTCACGAGTGTCCGCTTTTGAAATTAAAAGTGAACATTGGCTCGGTGTGGCCATCACCCATTCCTTGATGGACCGGTTTAGGGTTTAGGGTCGCTCGCCACGGGTCTCAAGCCCAGCATGTCTACGTGGCGCTGCTGTGTGGAGCTTTGTTCAGGCCCTGCGCTCCTGCCCCTTGGGCATGCCGTTCCCACTTGTCCCGGCTAAGAGCTGTTGAGCAGTTGCCTGACGACGTGTTTCCGCATCTGCTGTTCTTGCCGCAGCACCCTTGCAATGCTGTAGGCTTACTGTCAGCCCACATACACTTTGGTGGCTGCCGTGTGTCAAGCCCATCATTCATTGTTGGAAGACTTGAATCTGGTGCCCGTTCTGTATATATTTTTTGTTTCACTTGGTATATACTGACCGCGAGACGGTTGTTTCAGGACTCATGCTGCTGATGCGCAGCACCGCTTCCTGCACCACCACGTCCCTTCGTGCGTAAAGCACGCGGTCCAGCCATGGGGCCGCCAGTTGGCTCATGTGGAGCGGCGCCGGCCAAGCTGACCCGAGCGAAATGCTTGTCATGGCCTGTTGCGCCGACACTGCTAGCACGGCCCACCAACGCATGGCCCATGAGATAGGGGAGCAATTGCAGCTGGCGCGGATACGGGCGCAAGGTCTTTTGGTGCACCAGCTTGCCTGGCAGCGCCCAGGGCCCAGCCGCTCCGTACCCTCTGCAGCTGCAGACGTTTTCCGAGTCCGCAGCCTCTTGCGCCTAGTGAAACGGGCGCGAGCTGTGTTCAGCGTAAAGAGTGCTCACGACCCGACCAAGCCGTACGTTCCGCGTTCTGGCAAAAGGCCGGGCTTCGTCGAAACGAGATGGAAAGGACGTCGCTGAGAAGAGACTGGTCGCCGTTGACTCTTGCGGTGCCGGCGAGGGGAAGTCCAAGGAGGCTCGTGCCGAAAGCCCTGGCGGTAGAGAAGGCGAGCAAAGCAGACCATCGGGAGGTGGAGGCAGCTATGGTTGCAGGCCGCAACGGGCGAGGTGCAGGGTGTGTGGACAGCGAGCTGTGCACCACCCCAGAGTGGGAGCCCATTGGCGATGACTTCGATGTGGCGGTCATCGATTTGCTCAGGGTGGATGTTGAGGTCGCAAACCCAGGCAGCAGCTCGGGGCAAGCTGCGCAGGGGCCACCGAGAGGGTCAACGAGACGGCGGCAGCGACAGGCTGCAGCGTCGAGCAGCAAGAGCAAACAACAGGGCCCGGAGAGTCCACAGCAGGGTAGGGCAGTGAGAAGGCTGGAGGCAAACGGCCCAGATTGCAGCAAGGCGAGGGAAGTGGAGTCAAGCGCAGCACGTGGGTGGCCCGCCAAGCGGTCGTCGACAGCACTGGCTCGTCAGGGTCTGCAAGGAGAACGGGGGGCCGCAAGGGAAGCTCGCGGAATGGCGGTCGGAAGCCGTTTCTGAAAGATTTCGGCCGCGTTTTCAATGTCCACGATGCGGCGAGCGCCGCGATGGCAGTCCATCGGCGTGTCAGCGCGGCATCCGCGGCCCCATGTGGTTCGGTCCTGCGCGCGAGCGCGAGCGGTCGGAGCAGCGCCAACGCTTGGCTGTGCAATCGCCGCCAACTTCGAGGCCGAACACGACCATTCCTTTTTCGAAGGATGCCCGGCCCTGCTGGATTTTGGCAACATGCCATGTTTGGAGGCTTGATGCTAGTCACAACCTGCACTCAGAAGGCCCAAAAACCACCGGAGCTCACGCACTCCCACTGGTCATGGTGAAGAAGGCTTGTTTATCAGTCCAAACGAAGGATTTTTGGATTGCAGAAAAGCTCTCCGGCGGAACTCATGTGGTCGTGTATCCTTTTGTGAGCATGTCGGACCGTCTCAACATGGGCTGCCGGGAGACACGATCCCACACCCGGAGCAAAACGAGGGTACAATGATGTAGTGCGCCGTTGGCCTGGTCTTGGACGCCGGTGCACAGGTGTGTGGAAGAAAAGAAAGGCGAATACCCTAGACAACCCGTGCAACGGCCCGCTGACCCGTGCGACAAGCCCTACTCAATCAATAAGTATCGATCCGTCTTCGAAACGTGTCTAGGAGTCTAGGGTTACATATTATATATATATATATATATTTATATACACAGGATTCAGCCTCACAGAGCTATGCCTTTCACTGTCTATCGGGCCCAGAAGGTGTCGCACTGCGGCGGAGGCCCCCTCGGTGCTCAGCAGAGCGAACTGGCACGCACCGCTGGACAGGTCGTCGGGCCAGTCGAGCAGGGAGGCTAGGCATGCCGCTGCGGCGACGTCGAGCAACCAGCACCTGCAGTCTTGCCCTGTTCGACACGCCTGGCCGGCTGTGTCGGACAAGCCGTGGCATGGGTTGATTTGGGACAAAGACACGAACGAAGGCCTCGGTGCCGGCTCGTGTGCTGAGGGCAGCCGTGGCAGGCGGCTTACGGAAACCTTCTCCGTGTCCACGAAAAAAAATCTTGTGCGGGTCAGGCTCAGTGCCCTCGCAGAGCTCTGTGACTGCGGCGGCTTCGAGCGCAGAGGCGGCACTATCAAAGCCCTGCAAAAACGCCGAGGCAATGTTGTCGCTTCGGCACGCCGCATCCTACATCCTGCGCAGTCCGCGTAGTCAGAGCGTAAGGGCTTGAGTCCCAGCGGGTGCACACGAATCCTGCTTTTGGGGTACTTTTCACAGCCGAAACTACGGCCAGCCTCCATGCCGACGACGATCATGCAGCAGCAATCGCACATGGCCAAGCTTGGTGCATTTCCGTGCACAGAGGCATCAGACTGTGGCTTGCAGTCAGTCTGAGTTGGGACCCGTGTCGATGGTTGCACACGCATTTCTGCTCGCGTCGCGCAGATGCAGTTGTCGCAAGCACCGACCGGTGCCGTATATGGCTCTTAATGCTGGGTGCCCTGCGGGTCAGTTATAACCCACCTTGCTGACCTCACCCGCCCACCAGAAAATCTTGCTCCCGGCGGCACAACTCCCCATGACGTTATGCCTCCGATAGAGGCACCAGAAAGAAGACTTCGTACCTGCCGCTGGCTGCATCCATGGCCTCGTAGCCATGTGCGAGCTGGTGCGAGCGAAAGATGACGAGGAAACGAGCCGACGGCGCGGTTTGAAAGGCGGTGGTGGTCTATGCACAAGGTCACGACTGCCGCCGTCGTGTTTTCGACGGCATCGACACAAGCGTGACTTCCCTTGAACGTCGTTCTGAAATGATGTCGAGCATGAAGGTCGCACGTGTTGCCGCTGCTGCATGCCGCATCCGGTACCGCAACCTCGCTGCGCCTGCCGACGGGGCATCGGCCGTCGGCATCGGCATCGGCCTCTCCCACAAACAGAGGTCAGAGGTCAGAAAGAGGTCCCGCGGATCCCATCCGGCGCGCCCGCTCGGACGCTCGGCCTCTGAAGCTCGGCAACCGATGCTTGCGAGCAGAAGCGCAAGCGGAACCCGTGAGCAAGCCTATGAGGAATCCGCGCAGTTCAGTGGGTCCATTGGCACCCGAAGGAGAGAAAGAGAAGTGTAGACATGGCCGTGGCAGGCCGGCGTTGTACCGAAAGCTGCCGACTGCGTCGCACCACGGCGCGAATGGTAGCTCAACGTTTATTCTCTTGCTGTGATGCCGGCTTGTCTAGATGTTGAGATGCCACCATGGCATGGCCACACATCACGTGCGATCTTGAAGGGATGAAATTGACGCAGCCAGAATTTCCGTGGTCTGCAGTTATGTATCTCGAAGGGGCGTGCGGGGCTCCGGACGTGGGTGCTCGTTAGTTTAGGGTATTGGGCTTGTTGGTGTTTAGGGGTTGGACTCTGCGATGAACCGAGACAGCAAGTCACAACGAGGTCTCTCCACCACACAGCTTTCCTGCAGAGAATAGAACCACGGCAAGCCTGTGCAGCCAAGTCCATACTTCCAAGCGTTTTCTGGCGCGCGTTGATGAGTTCCGCATATCCTGAGTCACTGGCACTGCACTACTCACGAGTCATTAGGCTGCTGCTGTGCGTATGAATTTCTGAACTTCGTATTGCCATCCCGATCAGTGAAGTAATTCCTGTTTGCTCCATGACTTGTCCAAACCTGCAGACCTTACTCATCTCAGATCGGTGCGCGAATCTGCTGGTAGCTTTCGAGGCGGCAACAAAGTTGCATTTTTCCTGCAAGCATTCGACACATCACAACAGAAATGCTGTGTTGAGACACAACTCACCACTGTAGGGCCTGTCATCCCTCCACGCACTGTTTGCCTTTGGTCGCTTGTCACTGCGCAGCCGGCTGCAAAGGATGTAAAGTCCAGGGCAGCGGCGGGAGAGGAGCCTCCAACCGTGCCAGCCTGCTATCAACAGGAGTCTCCCTTCTCGCAATCGTTCTCTCTCGTTGTGTTTCCTCGTGCAGTATTGTGTTTCCCTCTGCCGTCGCCTCAGCCATGCCCCAACAGGCGGCCCCGACTTGGCATCCCAACCACTGCTATCTGAGCCGATCAGATCCAAGGAATGTGTCAGGCATTTCACTCTTTTCAAGGTCTAGACGGCTACTTATGACTGCAACTCCTCCGACAATCCGTAATCCGGATCTGCGAGCATCTTCTCGTCTAGATAACACATCAGCGACAACTCCGGGTCTGACCTGTGGTCACTGGCCCATCGCAGTGATTGGATTAGATCGCCGCTTGCTGATGTCAAGGCAATGATCCACACGCGCCCTTTTACCTATGTGGGCCTCGGCTTCTTGCCGCGCCTCTTCGCAGCCTCGCGTCGCTTGTTCGACATCTCTGGAGGCTTGTGGCTGACACGCCGCTTCCAGTCAATGCCGCAGAAGGTCAGCGACGCGTCGAAATCCAGATCGGACTTGGGAGGGATCTTTGGCCTCTTCCCCTTCTTCCCATATCCAAGCCGCCAGGGTACACGAATGAGTCGGCGCTCTCCGACACCCATTCCGGCCACACCGATGGCAAAACCAGGCAGCATGGTGCCCTCAGCCATTCAGGAGATGCTTGCAACAGGATTAGTCCGTAGTCACAGTCAGTCCATCGTCTGGCATGGTTTGCAGCCACCGAAGAGTGGAGTGAGACCATTGAGGCCGAGGCGTCTCCAAGAAGGAAGTCAATCTCTCCGACGTCAAACCGTCGGCCGTTCTTGTCCGGCAGCCGTCCCTACAATGTTCTCGCAAACGGAAAGCTGTGCTGTTCCAAGATGAGCAAGCTTTAGCCTCGTACATGAGCTTCACTTCGCAGCCCTTTGTTGCGAGTTGTGCTCCCTCGGGGGCCGCCCGAAGCACCTCCGGCAGTTGCAGTTGCAGCTCCTTAAAGCTCCCTGCAACTGGCCAGACAAGGTTTGCCTTGATGGTGACCCCACCCTGCAGCGTCTTGGTGGTCCCGGTGGGCAGCAAGCCTTCAGTCGTTGCGAAACTTTCATTGGCTTCATAGCTGCCTAGTAGCCTAGTGCTGTGAGTGGAACCTTCGACTTGGGGCTCCTTCGCAGGCTCCTTCGCTTCGCAAGCCGGTCCATGGCCATCGCCATGTCCGTGGCTTGCAGCCGCTTCGACGTCTCCCGTCCCGTCCTCTTCGGTGAGTCGCTTCCTGGTATACCAGGAAGCGACACGATCAAAACGACAGCATGCAAGTCGACGTATGCTGATACTGCCAAGACACTCTTTCTTCCTCTTGCGCTTTGGCAATCTTGTGGCAGAATGCGCAGGGTCAGCTCCAGCACCTTCGCCACCCGACTCCACCTGCCAGCTTACTAAAATGCCTGCGATATGGGCCTGCACGTCGCGGCTGAGTAAGTAGAAAGGCTTTTGTCCACTGAACGCATGGCCTTGCTACGCTTCCGCTTCGATCTCCGCTTCGGCACACTTTTTGCCGGGATGTCCGTCTTGGCGTCGGTCTTGCTGTCAGGCTCCTCGCACTCATCTTCCGAGCCCAAGGCGGCGAACCTGTTGCCACTGTATGCCGATGCCATTGAGGCTCATGCCCTCCTTGCTGTCGGTCTGTATCAGTGAGGCCACATCTCCAGTCTTCTGAGTCTCAGATCTGTTTGCTTGGATTTCGTGGTAGCGTTGCCGCAGTTGCACCTTTCTCAGATGCCAATCTTTGAGCTTTCGGGGAATGCAACGGATTCAGGGCGAAAGGTGGTACACGAAGACCTTGGCTCCGCCTCCGTGGTTGCAGAGTTTTCACGCAGGCGTGCGGCAGCCGCATTAACAAGTTTGGGCTGTGGGCCGTATTAGCCCTCCGCCCTTGCTTTGCCTTTGACTACAGGCAAAAAGGCAGCTTCCATATCTGCCCACAGCCGGCATGCCCAAACATCTCCCGACCCGCAACCCCCATTCCCAGCAAGACCTGTACCCAGTAGGACAGTGACTTCCATCACAAGAGCTCCCATGCCCATGTGGCACGCCGGGCTCTACCGAAAGTGTGGCAGCATGGTCATTGGCTGCTGGTGCCTTGGAAAGGCCTGAGGCACTTAAAACTTGAGGCCTCCTATGCAGATTACAAGGACTGCGCCTCAATCTCAGTCTCAGCGTGCCCGTAAGAGTACCAAATCTGCGACAGGTGGCGCACATGTGGTTGTCAATCAGAAATGAAACAAAGTCAGTGGACAAACCCTGCGAGTGGTCTCTGCTCATCTGCATGGTCAGGGCGCACCACTGCAGCGACAAGCATCGCCAGGGCAGCCAACACAAACCTCAGTAAACAGCTTTGATGAACGTGCCGCGCTTGTCCCCATAAGTCCGCAGATCCGCGCAACGGCTCACGTGTTCTGGATCGGGGACATGAGCAGGATCCCACAATGAGATCCATGGAGCTAGATGAATCAAATCAGGAGCTTGTTAAAGCGGATTCACTCTGCCACTCAGATGAGCGGGTGTTACAGTCAAACTCGGGGAACTAAATCAGAAACAAGGGAATCAGAAAAGCACGTCAACTCTACAAGTAGCGACTTGGTCGAAAACCCAACATACATCCTAAATGGAGTGAGTGCGGAAAGGCCCGACTCTAGAGGAAGTGACAGGAACCCAAAACGCTGATCGAGTAGAATGGCTAGTAAGCCCAATTCCCTAAACTAAACGGAGGGAATACTGAATAACCTCAAAACCCCAAAACCGTATCTCGTCTTTATAGACCCAAAACCTGAACTCAAAAAGTAGTGAGAAGTTCCCCAGAGCCCAACACCCTTTAAAGGAGTAAGTTGTTGCCCAAGCCCTTATAACCCCTGAGTTGTTCCGAAACACCACCGCCCTAAAAAGAACAACTGCTTCAATCCCGTACAGGCTGGAAATGGTGACATGCCCGATGCACTAAACGGAGTTCGTGCTGCAATAATTCAAGGTCGCAAAAAGAATGACTCGTTGTCACAAGCTCAAAACCTGAACCCTGAAAGGAGCGAGTGTGAAAGGAGTGACGGGTTCCAGAAAAGCCACCAAAATCCCCAAAGGCATGATGCGCAGATTCCTTGGGCAAATTATTGCCTCTTGGCCGGGTCCGATCCGATTCGAAAGGCCGATTGAGGACTGCCAAGCACTCTCCGGGCACCACGCCAGATGGAGGACCCCGAGGATTCTGACCTGACTGCTCGGAACATCGTCGATGACGAATGCTGAATGCAGTTTGCTTGTTTTTTGCAATGCTTGCTTTGCGACTTCTCCCTCCACCAAAATTCCACATAAGTGCGCAGCTCCTGCTGCAGGTCGTGCAGACCGTACTGCTTCAGAAGCGGCTCCAGCTGCTTCCTCCAAAGGCCGCTCGTCTACGGGGCGAGCTACTAGTAATACTAGTCAAGCCTGGGAGGGTTATTTTCAAGGGCAGCTTAAGTGGTTTAAAGTTTAAAGGGGAGATCATGTCGTGCCTGGTCTCAGCTTTATCCTCCTCGCTGACCGCCTGCTTGCGCAAGTAGCTACTGTACCTGCGATGCATTGCCATGCTCTGCCATGCTGCAAACATCGCTAACAGGAGGCTTTTGCCAGCCCTGCACTGGCAGCTGAGTGCATATCCCTTTCTCGTGTCCCGACAGTGAGTTGGAGTTCCGTATGCTGGTCGAGTCTCACGAGGTCGCAGCCTGAGTGGCTGATCTGGGGGGGTCCCTCTTTTTTTTCCGGGCCGAATCCAAAGCCGCGATCTGCCCGAGTCGCGGAAGCGACAATTGGCCGACGTGTTGGCGAAAAGCACCGAAAAGGCGGGGGAAGATTGCGGGGCGCCTTTCGGCTCACGCCTCGCTCCTAAACCCTCTCTGCTAGAGCGAGGGCGAGGCTACTGGACATGGCTCTTCGAAAGGTGTCTGGTCTTGTCAACAGCCGCACGGCTCAAGCTGGAGAGCAAAGGAGTCTCCAGCGGTGTGACCCTCCATTGCCAAAGACAGGCAGAGAGCACTCCAGGAACAGCATGTATCCTCGGCTGCTGAAGTGCAACCCCAACTTAATAAGCCTTGACTAAATAGATTGCAGCACGCTGCCAATAACTCTTTGACAGTGCAGTCGAGAAACTCTCACTATCATTTGCGGCACGATCCCAGGAAGCCTCGCGGGCCACCAAGCGTAGCACAGCATAGCGTAAGGGGGGTGAGTTCCCTGCAACTCACCCAAGCCCCAGCTGCCTGAAGCAGCTCACGCTTGTCAGGCGGCAGTGTGTCCTGGCAAGCCAATGTAAGGCTCCCCAAGCCCAAGCTACCAGTGGACCAGGTCCAGTCACCGCTGGCCTCTAAGAGCTCATGCCAAAGCTCTGCGAGGTTCTGTGGCGGGCTCAGCTCCTCAAAGTGCCATGCATGAGACTTTTGAACCGCCTAAGCGGCAAAGCCGTTGCAGTCGGTCCATGTCACCCAGCAAACCACCCTCTCGAGGAGCTTGCCTGCCCATGCGAGCGCTGCGAAGTCTGGATTTTTGTTCCTCTTGGATCACCACCTTGTATCGCTTTCACGGCCGCCAACCTGCTTGGCAGAGTGCTACCTTGAGTCTCGGGTGCTCATGCACACGGCCCGGCCTCCATCTTGACACGGCCTGCGCCGCGTCGATAGAGCCCCGACTCGGTGACCAAATCCTCAGCCTGCAGGCGCTCTGACAACTTTCCATCTCAGGCAAGGCGGCCCTGCGTCGGGCAGGCCTCGAGCTGCTCCTCGCTGATTGACCTCTTCCCCCCAACAGACAACGAAATCCACGATCAAAAGACCACCGAAGCCTCTCAGAGCAGTCTGTGACAGTCTTGGAGGCCTCAGGTCAAGGATAAAGCTGCCATGTTGTCTGGCGCAGGCGACGAGTGTGCAGGCAGACACAGACACATCGCGAGCGATGCATTCCTTTAAACAAGTCCCAGTCAAGAGAGCAGCGCGCTCTCAAGGACGTGCGCTTCATGCGGGATGACTCGTGCAGCAATGCTGCGCGCTGGGCTCAGCAGACATCTTGAGTGCCACAATACGCCAATACCCAGTGAAACTCTTCGCAGCTACTTTGGGGTCGTGCACTTGTCTGGTTAACACTACTAAGTTCTAAATAGTACTTGTAGTCAGTCTTGCCTACTGAGATGCTTGCTCGATATCCTTCAGCCTCTATTCCCCGGCCCTGCAACCTCCAACTGGCTCGCAGCCCGGAGAACGGATTCTGGCGGGGCGTCTCAGCGCCGGCGCCGGGATCCATTGGCCACCGAGGCGTGGCCGTTGGCCGCTCCATTTGTCGTCATTCGCGTCGACGCGGAGGGCACCGTCTGGGACGTGCCGTGGCCGCCGTAGCCCACCAGGGCCTTGCGCAGCCCCAAAGGCCAAGTTCAAAGCGAAGCGCACTTTTTACCATGTCGAGCCTGCACTGGACCCTCGACCAGAAGAAAGACGAGCAGTGACACCACCGCGGACACACCGAAGAGCAGTGCCTCTGTCTTCAAGCCGTTCTCGGATGTTCTCAGCGACATGCTCGGGCCCAGGCAACGATGGAGAGAAACAGCACCGGCGATGGTGGAAGATCCCGGAACCACTGGATTGGCGATTCCTGAGTCGCAGCGTCGCATGCTGGGTGCTTTGCGCTTGGTGGCACCTGCAGTAACTTCTTTAGGCCAAGCTTCGGAGTTGCCGAGGTGCATCTGCGCTACCTCAGGAACCCAAGCAAAGCCTCCACAATCCCAAGAAAACATCGTTGGACTGTCACAGCCTTTTACCTGTGCTCGATTCAACATAAGGTCAAGCTTCGAAAAGGTGCGACAAATTGATGCCAGGCGAAAGTCGACCCAAGGCGTTCAGCAAACGTCCCAAGAGTCCTTCAGTACTACAGGTGAAGAACCATAAGCCTGTTTCATTGTGGCTCAGCGCTCTCAACACACCTTTTGTGGCAGCATGAGCAATGCAGGCGCGAAGCAGAACTCTAATTGTCATCGTTTCCTTTTTATCTGATGTTACCACACTGTGCTCCCTAGGTCCTAGGTTCACTTCATGCACTGGTTGTTCACTCCCCGGGCCTTTCGAGCGAGGCGGCGAAGCCTCCGCCATTCGCAGCAAGAGGAGCACTCCGACCATGCTAGGCAGCACCATCAGATTCTGCATCACACCATCCGGGATCTGCGGAGCCTCGGCAGCACTGGGCAGCAAGACAGCGGTGTCTCGCAGGCTCTGCCCTGCCACGAATCCAATCGGCGTGATTCTTCCTGGCAGAGCGACCTGCGGCAGCCACCCCAAGTGGGCCGCTGCTATGAGAAGGATGCCGGCAGAGGTCACGGCAAAGGCCATCGTGCTCAGGAGGAACCTCGCGAAGACCCAAGGTGCGCCACAGCCAAGGTCAAACTGCTCCGAAGCATCAGGAAGCTGGAGGCGTGTGCTGTGCTAAGTCTCACTCTCGACATTGTCGCAGCCATCCGTTCAAAAAGCCCACAAAAGTCGAAATCTGCTTCGAAAAGCAGAGGGATTGCTGGCGTTTATCCTGCTGCCGCTCATCTCCAGCAGAACGCTTCCCTCCGAGTCGCCTCGAGACAGGCCTGGGTTCCAATAGC